GTCTACGTACGTACGTTAGTATCTGTCTATTATAATAGTCTCTACTGTAGTAGAGTGGGTGGTCGTTCTCGTAAGTACCACTGTCGACTAACTAAGTAGTGTGTGTGTGTATATATATATATATATATATATATATGTACCATATGTTAATCAGCTTCTGTCTATGGTGAACCATCACTCATCTTCTTCATGAGTAAAGCAGAAAGGGATTTTTGCTCATCCCTGCTGATGAGGGAATTGGATAAATTGGGGAAGATCTGCTTTTCAGAATAGGGAATCTCAGACACCCATTGCACTGTTTCTGGTGTGATGTTCCTCCAGACTCCCCACCACATTTTCCACCCCTTTTCTTCTAGTGAACCCTGTAATACTGGTTATAACTTTACCCTGTTCTTACGGATGAATCAAGGCAATGCCATGACCCCATAATACCAGGTTCGGTTTGTTGTACTTCTTGCTCCTATGGTGGTTTTGGGAGTTTGTCTGGTTACAACCAAAAGCTCACTTCCTCTTCATAATTCCGGTTGCTTGACGTATGACACGCTGTTTACTTACAGTTGGGGTTGTTGGATATATATATAACATGGTCCACATGCCCAAGCCATAATGTTGTTATTGCAATTTCTTTTTAATTCCTCAACCTCTTAATGCCAAGGACAAGTTATGGAACCTTGTCTGTCTAGTTGAGGTTGAATGCATACCTGTTCCAGAAGGTGTGCTTCTTTTTCATCACCGAGCACACCCATTCGTTCTGGGCGGTTGCTTTCCACTTGGTTTGAAATTTTTGTGTGCTTATGCCAGCTCCACCATCTTTGCAATGTGTCATTTTAGCTACTATTAGTGGAGAGTAGTCATGTAATATGTACGTGTTCAGAAATGACATGAAATTGATGGGGTTTATAGACTGGTGCACTGATCACAAAAATGTTTTTAAGCAATACTTAGAGGGCAGATGAACACCAAGATAGCTTTGTGTAAAAGGAGATAAGTACCTATTGGAAATACATTTTCAGTGTAAGAAAAATGTTAACTTTTAACAGGTCTCACCCATTTGTTGGAGCTTGTTTGTGCTAAGAAAGCCCAAATAGGTGATGAAGCATAGATAGTTAAACTTTTGAGATGAATTACCATATACAGAACCTAAACCTTCTTTTTAACAACATATCAGGGATCATTACAACACAGATAATGAAAACATGTTTTAAAAAATCCACAGTGTAAGCATTGATTCCATTTTGATATCCATTAGTCAATCTATGTGTTGACAATTACAGGAATTCAGAAGTTTCATATATTTTTGAATTTGCAATTTATGTTTGTATATTTATGGGTTAAACAGGATATGAAGAACAATTTTGAATATCTTCGAATTCAACATAAAGAGAAGGTGCAAAACTTTGAAGAAAAAAGTGAGTTTAAGTGTTTGGTTCTGTAGAAATTTACTTCTCCATTTACTCTTAAAAAATCTGTAGTAACTAGCAGCCATGTGTAAATAATTTAAACTATATTATATAGAAACACATTTCACAATTTATGTGAGAAGCTTCTGTATGTATTTAATTTTACATTTAGGTACACTCTGATACTAAAAAATAATGTTATTTCATACAGTTATTTTAATAGATAAACTTTGTTTTGTATGTAAAACTTGATTGTCAGTTTACTTTATCAATTACATATTCTTGGAATATGTTAGTTTTCTTTGTTAATTGATGCAATTAGATTATATGAAAATATATTTTAACAAATGTAGATGTGACTAAATATTTATCTGTATAATGTTATCAGGGATTTTATGTAGAGATATTTTTGAAACTATAAATTGAATATTTGTAAAATAGAATAATATTCATCAGTTTTCAGAGATAAAACTGAAAAAATGAAACTACAGAATGAAATGACAGAAATTAATGTTGCCCATAAAAAAGAGGTTTGTTTTAATTCATGTTTCTTGTAGAAGCATGAATATTTTGAATTATAACTTAAATCATACATTCAGAATTCTTTTTTAATTTTCTCAATCGTTTTACAAAGTATAATTTAGTTGATCTCTTTTTCAGAAACAAAATTTTGCAGCTTAAAATAAATGTAAGAGATAGAATGTATTCCCATCGGTGCTTATTTTTCTTCTTCAGAACAAATAATTATTGTTAAAAATAAATGTAAATGCTGAAAATAAAAATGTTTTCTGTGATATTACTTCTTTTGATACTTGTCAGAACTCTGAATTGATTATAAGCCTTTTGATGTAGAAGGATACTTTATTTTTTCTTGATTAAACATTTAATTTAAAGTATAGCTTTCAGTAACAATATTATTTTATTAAAATTGAAACTGTGAATATCATTTTCACCCCACCTCCAAATGACTTTAGTTCCAAGAAAAGCATAAAAATAATATATACTTCATTCAGGTATAATACACATATACAAAATATTATAACTACACTACAGTTTGATATCAGTAAATAAGTAAAATAAAGTTTCGTTTTTTTTGTTTTTTGCTTCAATTCACACACAAGATTTTTTCTCATAAAAAAAATTAAACATTAATGTCAGATACTTGAAGTAAATTAATTGCTTGCAATACCTTTTAGCATGGCTATGTCAAAATTATAAATAGCATCCTTTTTTTTATATCTTTTATATTCAGTTTCTAAGTTTTAATTTCTTTACTGTGAATAAAGTAAAATAGTTCATTTATAGTAATCTCAGATCATTATATTATTATGATTATTGTCTTGATAATTTGTTTAGTTAAACTCACTGGAGAACTGCCTGAAAGCCAAAGATAACAATATCAATGATGTCCAGGAACAACTCAAGTTTTTGTCAGAAGAACTGCAGAAAACTGCTCATGAAAAAGGTAGTTAAATAATTATCCAAGGAGGTGTTTATGGTCTATGACAAAGATGCAAAGATAAAACAAGGTTGAGCCATCAGTCCTTCAATAATCAATGACATTCTTTATGGTGATCTTAGTTATGAGATATTGCTATTCAGAGCAATTTCCACTGCAGATAGCTCTTGTGTGATGTATTGAAAAGCTTACTCATCATATGCTTTCCAGAATCCAACTGTATGGGAAAATGTTTTCTGAGAATCCATTTAAGTAAATCAAAGATACAAAAGTCTTGGATGTCAGCAGGTAGTTATAGCATGAACTGATGTTTGTGTGCACATCGTATAACTAGGTACTGACTTGGAGCTGATGCTTTGTCTTGATAGTATCTCACTTACTGGCATATGTTCCAAACTAAAAGATATATACTCTTATTATTGTGGTGTCACTGCTTTATCCTAACAGTACGTAGAGTTTACCTTGACATTTTTCTTGATTCTTTGAATGTTTGATATACCATTTATATAACTGTACCCTCCAACCATAAAATTCCTTGTAAAAATCTTCCCATCATGCTCTCTACCGTTTTTTAATATTATATTTCTAGCAGAATGAATAAATTGTTAGAGTTCTAAAGATAATTAAGTACACATATGCTTTGTCCAATATGATGTCACAAATTCATTTGTCTTATGCAAAGTGCTGATCAAATGTCTTTCAACATAATAGCTGGTCTTCCATTTGACTATGTGCTTTCAGGAAACTTATAAGCACAATTCTTGTATTTATTTTTAAGACCAAAATCCAAGTGTATTACCATGTTTGCAATTCTAATGAACCAAGCACTGTTTTCCTTGGTTACTTTCTGCAAAAAAATTGTTTAACTTTTTTCACTACCTCTGGTAGCCATTCATTAAGTAGCCTGTTTGTTCTCTGCTGGAATCATACCTTAACCCCTTATTTTAAGGATATGGTTCAATAATACAGGCATTTCTCTTTTTAAACACTAACATTTAATGCATTGCATATTTTTATAATTTCAAAATAGGCGAATTTTACTTCAGAAAGTTCTATATCATAATTTTGCCAGAAATGGTCAATTTTAGGTGCCACCTGCATTTCCAATTCACCATGCACACTTCAAATGAATTGCAACAATAGGGTTATAGAACATGAACATCCCTCTTGTGTATCAGGCTCTATTTTAAAATTTTAATTGTTTTTTAACCAATGAGAGAAGTATTTGCTTATATTCCAACATTACAAATATTTGTTTTCAGATGAATTTGACAAAATGTTCAAAAATAGTGAGATTAAAATATGTAGCCTAGAAGAGAGCATAGAAACCCTAAAAGGTCAAGTGAAGAGCTTGGAGGTAAGTGTTTATGTTCTATTATTATATATAAAATTAAACAAGGACAAACTACATTTTCAAATAGTGATGATAAAGTTCATGTGTGAGAAATAACTAAAGACTTGAATCTTATGTTGTATGTTAACTGTGTATGGAGTCAGAAAACATTATTGAGTTTCACAAATGGCATGGCTTAAAATTAATAATAATCAAATGTTTTTCATTCACATTTTTACTGAGTTTTAGCTGTAGTGCTCCAATCAGTAATGAGCATCACACTTAATAATTGGTTAGTAAATTAAAAAATGTTTACAATATTCAGCATTTTGAATTTGTGAAACATCAGTTTTTTACTTCACATTAACACTATTGACCTTATTCTGGGATTCTTCTTCTTTGAGAAATATATAATGTCCCAGGGCTCAGTGACATACACAATGACAATGTTTCCCACCCCAGCCATACCCACTGTCTGTTAAAGAGTGTACAGTCCACTGATCTCACTCTTGGTGACTATTAATTAAGAGGTGTTTTGATGATGTGGGTCTATCACTATGGCCCAAAAACCATTCTTAAACTGAAGAAGTTTGATAGAGGTTAGAGCAATTCTTGAAGGTGTGTGCTGCAAATCCAATATTAATGTCAGGATGGATATAGTAATTAAAAATGGAAATGGCAACATTGAATCAATGTTGTAGTGGCAACTGGCAACCCCAGCCCCTGGTACCATTACAAATGTACTTGCACATATATAAAACATATTCCCAAAAAAAGTAAAATGGTACATGATACTTACAAGATTTATAACAGTAAGAAAAAAAATCTTTAAAACATATAAAAAACTTAAAGGATATTTAGATAATTAACATTCATAGTTTTTACACCATACCAACTGACTTTTTTACGATATTTATATATATACACTTATCAGGATGAAAAAAACATAGCTAGCAGCTTGCTGAAGCAAAAAGAATGTATTCTTGAGGAAGTCAACTCTGTAGTTGAGTCTGTACAAAAGGAGTTACAAAAGATGACTAGTGAAAATGAGCAAGAAGTGGAACATTTGTCAGAGTACTGTAAAGAACTCACTAGTCAACTCAACGAAGAAAAGGCAAGGTATAGTTGCAGTGTAACACAAATACACTACTGACATATGTATGGTAATTGGTACTTTAACATTATGTTGTGAGTATATGTGGATATAAGTTTATATTATATTGTGTTTTTGTTATTTTATAGTTTTTTATTTTTTTACTTTCAGAACATAAGACCCCAGATTTATTTTATACTTGTTGTTTTTTTTTTACTTTCAGAATATAAGACCCCAGATTTAATATAATTGAAACATGTTTATACAAGAGTTATCTATTTTCTGCCAGCTTACAGCTATTTGCATTATCTTTTATCAAACAAAAAATACCTGTTGTTTAAATTAGATAATAATCAAAATTAAATAATAATATGGCTACGAACAGATCAAATGAACTGTGAAAATTCCTAAAATGCATAGTATATTCAAATACTACACACTCACTATGGGCAAAATGGATGTAATGCTTAAAGTACTTTTTTAGAAAGGCAAAATAGTATTAAAAAATAGACTGTCCAGTAAATTACATTATGGCTATTCAGTTTAAGAGTTATTATTTAGTGATTTAATATTTAATGATTGTTTAGTTTTCATAACAAGAGTGTTAAAAGTTAATTATTTTAAAAGTGATAGTTATGAGAAGTTTTGTTACATAACTTTGTATGAGTCATTTCTTGTGTATGTAATTTAATTGTTGTACTAAGCTTTTGTAATATTGTTGACATCATTATACTCGAGGCTTCTAAGTTTTTCTCGTTATGTTTAATATTGTTGCTACTAGAGGGTTAAATATTTCTAGATTTTTCTGTCACGTGTTATGCAGATACAGAGTGCAAGCAAGAAAGTAAGTTAGAGAAGTTAGACTGCATGATTGTCAGTTTAGCTGTAATGGACAATTTCTAAAATGAGTTTCACAGCTTCTATTGTAATAACAGAAATAAAGAAGAATATTGTGTCTTGTCAAAGGGTGTTCTAAAGTAATTGAACCTGCCTTTGTTGACTTTGATGAAAAAAAGAGACAATTATTTAAATCTCTGAATACAACTGTGGTAACCAACAGAAGTTAAGTTACTGAAAGTGAAAGTAAGACAACAGTTGTGAGAGATATAGATCTAGACTGTGTTTGTAATTTTAGTCATAAAGAGTGTATAGTGGTGACTTTTAAAGGGTTCTAATCACAGATTGTATTGTAATAAACAGAGTAGAGAAGAATAATTCATCTTGTCAGTTGGGTTCTAAAGAAACTGAACCAGCCTGTATGGACTTTTGATGTAAAAGATATAACTGTGATAACCAATATTGTAATGAATTGTTTTGTACATATGTTTGACTTGTTTTGAACATATTATTTTAAAACAAGTGGATTGTGTGGTGTTTGTTTATTGATCAAATCTATCATCAACAAGTCACAGACACCTACTGTAAAGAATCCAGCCCCTATAAAACGTGGCAAAATCTATAAGTTCATTTATATATTATCCACTTATAATTTCAATTTTAACACATATTCATTTATTCAAAAAGTGCATGCATTTTTAATGATGTCTTTCCCTGATGAATAGCTTCAACTTAATGTACAAACTCAAATTTCCATTGCTCTAAAACAAGATTAAGATAATTAAGACATTAAGGATTATTAGCATGATTTAAGTGAGGTTTTCTTTACTATATAATTAATAGGGCAAGAAAAACTTCAGTATTGCTTTATGGGGCCATTAGTCATTAGAAAACCAAAACCAGTGTACTAAATGTTCAAATGGATAGATTGACATTGTTGTCAAAATTATGTGTGGGAAGGAATCATTGATTTCATTATTTCGTATATTTAGCTTTGTTTAAATGATGTACAGAATGTATTTTTACATTAATGTGATTTAGTTAAAAGTGTTAAAGAAACAACAAAACTGAGAAATATAAGGAACTTGCATATCTTACAGAGTAAAAGATTTGCATACACATCTAGGGGAAACTGAAACTGAAATAGAAGGGCTTAAAAGTTCTTGTGGTAAGATATTTCCATTTATGAAAAATATATCTAATGTTTTGTATTAATTAACATTTTTACAGTGAAATTTTTAGAATGAGGAAAAAGTAATTTTTGTTTTCTTTACTCACTAAGTTTCAATGCCTTTACATCTTGTTAAACAGATAATTTATATTTTACTAAGGAAATTTTTATAAAGTGCAGCTAATTGATAGTGATAGTGGTTGTGTCAGTAATAAACTTAGGACATAGTTACCTGATATCCAGAGGAAATGTGTGGTGATTTGTCACAAGTAGATTAAAAGATGAAGACAAACAGATGAAGTCTAATTAAAATAAAAAAATATTTGGTGAAAATAAAAGAAGAATTTAAGGAATGGCTGATAGGATAGAATTAAAACAGCTGTGAAAAAAGATGATTAACTAGACTAAACTGTATATAAATGAAAAGACATATTAAAACAAACTTAAATCTTAAAAATAAAATAATGTTTGCATAGTCAACAGATAGAAAAGGGGTATACCAACCCAAGAATCAGTCTTTTAAGAAAAAGAGCTGAAGCCAATATCTCAATAATCGTATCTGAATGCAAAAGTGACAGTCACAAAGCTGTCTTATTTATGCTAGGTAAAGTAAGACACAATTAAAGAGTAGTCATTGACCAGACAGGCTTTGAAAATTATCTCATCAATTGAATTTTACACATAATCTCAACTAGACTTAGTTGTGGAATTAGAAGTTTTTGTTTTAATTTTTTGTATATGAAATATATATTATTTCTATTGTAGAATGGAATATGTAGTATTTGCATACTACAACCCACTTTTCCTTTATTTGAGGATTGTCTTCAAGCTATCTTTAATTTTAACTCTAACAATAATTAAAACTTTACAGTAAAATTGATGAAATTGTATGAAAATCACAATGTTTAGTTAGACTGGACATGAATACCATATGATGATATGGGATGCACAACATGGTAGCACTATACAATCACCCATATATGAGACTTATAGATGTGATAAACTTCTTCAACTAACAAACACACAAACAAAGTAAAAGCCCTTAGAAATCAAAATAACAAAATGTACCCTTTAAAATTAATATCACAGAGAAATAAATAGAATGCATCAAATACGATATTGAGTAAAACCCAAGGCATGAAAGACGAAAGCAAATGAACACTTCTAAAGTGGAATATTCACAGATGACATATATGTGAATAGCAAAGGGTAAGTCAATCTACTAAATATAATAACTATACCCAAATCTTAATGTCAAAGAAAACCATACAATACCAATTATCAAAACAAAAATAATATACCAATATTACATGAGACAACAAAAGAAAATGTAACACAGAAAAGAAATAAGTATACAATACATATTTACATTCAGAAGCTTCAGGGGATTAGTGAAGAGTTGTCAGGAATCAAATCTTTGATCTTTGTTTCTCAGAGTATGCTGTCTGAATGACTTTAGTAGTGTGGGCCATCTTCCATTGCAACCCGGGGAAATAATGGCCAGATCTAGCAGAATTCTTTCACTGTCCTTATGTCATCTTGCTCTTTATCCCAATGGCAATCCTCCTCCTTGAGGTAAACTCCCAGGAAGCCAATCTCACAATGGGTTTGGTCTGCTGATATACTTGATGTGAGAGTTTGACCCACAGTTGAATTGGAAGAGCTAACCCACATGCCACTCAATTATAGAGTGCATTTTGATTTGTAAGGGCTTTACCTTGTTTGCTTATATGCTTTGTTTGTGTGTTTGTTAGTAGAGTCATGATTTGGCTCTTGTTATTTTGGTCAACATTTTAGAGTTTCACAACTTCACTGTAGTTCACCTGGTACATAGGATATACTAACTAGCAAATAACATTTGTAAGATATATAAACCTAAAATATCAATATTTGAGCCAAGGTCTGCTAGTATTACTCTCATAAAGTGCTGGCCCTAGGACTGGGTGAACCAGGTAGCTGCCAGGGGTGTAACTGCCCTGAGGGTGGAAAAAGCCCCTTGTAAAAATTATCAATTGCATGAATACAATCTTTAGGGCATGCCTAAAATGTGACCTGTAATACCCACTAGTACCCACCAGTTTCTCTATAATTCCTTAAGTCCTATTTTTACATATGTTTTATTAGTAGTATAGTTCAAGTGGTGTGAAAATGTTAAGAATCTGGCATATGAAGTCAATGTGGAGAATAAAATCAAATAAAGAGGATGCAAAATGTAGGAAATGCATAGGGTGACAAATGCTTATTCTGCCTGAAGCACCATTTTGACTAAAGCCAGTTCTGCTCTTATATGTCTGGTACTTGCACTAACAATGATGAAGAGCCAATCACTATTTGTGAGGAAAACATCAGTGTTTATTAGCTAGAGTGATGTTTTCTTGATACACTGTAAGATCAAGAAAACTTTTGGTAGTGATATTTCAACTAAAACTACCTTACATCCAAGTAATTTCACAGGCATATATGAAGTCATACTCAGCCCTGTAGATGTACAAATTACAACAATTGAAGAAACAAATAAATGGTTGTTTTCACCCAGAGCAATGACGAGGGTTGATCCAGGGCTTGCTAGTGTAAGTTAGCATACATACATGACAGCATTCACAGTCTGTTACCTCCTGCAAGTACATTGTTGTTTATTCAGCACAGGGGAAGAACATCTGTGCCAAAAGCAACCAAATTCTCCACAGCTATAACAGACTCCTGTTTTGATCTCTGTGGATCAAGGTGTCTTTGCATCTTCATCATTGTTATGGACAATGTCTAGAACAAAAATGGTGTTTGTCTGGAAAAATTGTGTCTGTACTGGACATTCTGTCCATCACAGTACCTATGGCCAATATTTCAATTTGCAATATTATTTCCAAACATTCAACTAGTGAATTTGACCAGTTAGAATCAAACAGGTACAGTATGATCAGCAGTGAACAGTTTCTAAGCAACACTAATAAAGTTCTCAAATGATTGATGAACATGTACTCAAGCTAGATGGCCTTGATGAAGCTTGTGAGAAAAACCTACTCCAGTCTCTACACTACCATTCACAATATCTTCCTGCATTACCGAATCTCTTGTTCAAAATGCTAATTTGAAATGTTCTAACAATTCAGTAATACAAATATACACTCAAAAAAGTTCAGCCCAGGATTCTGTTACAAAGAAAAAACGTACTAAATCAATGACAGTTCAAAAATGGATTAATGAGGACCTTGCAAAAGAAAGTGGTAGCATTTGGTTAGACTATGATACTGACAAAGACAGACATTTGGAAAGGCTGTATTGCAAGCTATGTCAAAAGCATAAAAAACAAATCTGCATTTTAAAAGACATTTTTGAATATATGCAAAAAAAAAAAGTTAATGTTTCATATTTTTTTGTAAAACATGAGCTGCCCTTCATTGTGTATGAAGACTTAATTAGGTTAGAGAAATATCATGGTGTTGATGTTGGTGATATATATGCTAATCACATCCAGTGTGGCGAGCTTGTTGATTTTCATAGCAAATATCTAGCAGATAAACTGGGGGAAGGATTTACAATGAGCAAAGCTTTATGGTGTGTTGGTAGATAGAGCAACAGACTGCAGTGTAACAGAGAAACAGGTTGTCTATATGTTGTATTTTGACCTGCAACATTCTGAAGAGTATTTTGGAGTCAAACTCTAATTTCTTTACTTAAAAGACATCTAGAAAGCAGATGCAGTAGGAATTAAATCAGCGATTGATCCAAGCTTTGCTTCTCTGGGCATAACAGGAAATCCGTTTTTTTTTCAAAACTTGTTAGACTTGGTGCAGATGAATACTGTAGGTAAAAGAGGTGTAAAGGCCTTGTTTCAAGAAAAATCACCATGATTAAATTTTCAATGGTGCATGGCTCATATATTAGAGATGACCATGAAAGATGCTCTTCAGCCAACATACTTCAGTCAAGTGGATGACATACTCATGAGACTGTACTATATCTATCTGAAGAGTACATTTGATTTTGTGGAAGGATCAGTAAACCAAAAAGAGCATGTGGTAAACAATGGATTTCATTCAAACTGGGAGCCTGGTGATTAATGCTGGATAAATTTGTAATTTACATGATACATTTAGAAAATTTGGCTACTCAGAGAAGTAATGATAAAATTGCAGAGTATTTAACAAAGTGGAAAACCAGTCACATGTTGTTGCACATCTCACTTTTCATTGATGTGTTAAGTCCTGTTCCAGAATTATCAAAAGTTTTTCAGGAAGAATAAATTGACATTGTGAGTGCCATTAGTGCTTTATAAAATGCAAAATGTAAACTTCAAATATTCAGTAAAGAGAAGTTACAAGATCTTCCAACCACAAAACATTTGATGAGCAAAGTGGAAAGTTCAAATGGAATGCACACATACCAAGGTGTTCAATTCAACTCTGCCCAGTTTGACAAAAATCTAGAGTTATTGGAATCAAATAAAAAAGGACTAATCGAGTCTGTATCATCTTGCATATCTTCTTGTTTGGATGACTCTGGAAGTTCTTTGTTAGAAAAAATTGCTTTCATATTGAATACTGAATCATGGGTAGCTACAGCTGAATTTCTCCTGGCAGAGGAGAGCCTGCGTCTTTCCCCAAATTAAATGAAGAATTTTGTGATTCTGAAATAAGTGAATTGTTTGAACATATTCAAGCCATTTTCTGCAATGCTGGCATCAAATGCACCTGTATTAAAGTTGTTGATAAACATAACTATAAGAAAACCTGGAGATTTATTTTTCAATCCTTCTATGCAGAAACAAAATGGAAGAACATTCTAACATTAATTGAATTGCTATTTACTGTTGCAGTCTCAAGTGGAAAGCTAGAAAGAATGTTTTCAAAACTACAGTGAACCAAAGTTGATTCTAGGTGTTCAGTAGGTGAGAAAAGGTTAACCCATATACTTAGAATCATAGAAGAAAGTCCTCCAGTTGGTTCCTTTGATGTGAACCCAGTAATTAATCTATGGAGACCCAATCAAAAGAAAAAGAAGAAATACAAACAGCACAAAAAAAAAAGATTAAAAAAAATATTACCATAAGGATTATTACAATGAGCTTATGTTAATAGACAGTAGCAGCAAAGAAGGTGACAGAGCTGATGAAGGTGTGAACATCAGCTGCTCTAATGTGGATAATCAGGCTTCAAGTTTTTTGTCTGAAGCTGAGGTTTGGTCAGAGAGTAACAATGATGTACATTGGTGTATTGAAAATGTTTTTTTTTAGTGATATTGATTCAGAAACAGAAGAATTTTATGGCTTTTAAACTTTATACCATCTAGGGCATTCCAATTTACTGTTGTGTTTTACAGGCCTTTGTAATGTTATTATTCACAGGTTTTATGAGCATTATGAAAATAAAACAAGAGAATAAATTAATTTTATCACATGTCTTCCATTCAAATGTGTGTGACAATCACTGTCTGTGTCAGCCAGTGGATGCAAAGTGTCAGGCACCAAGTAGTTGATGCCTAACACTTTGTCAGTCACTAGAGAAAAGTTATTTTCAGGCTTGTTTATATAGCACAGGTGGCATATTTTGTTATTCTTACAAGCAATATTTTATGGTAAGTTTGTTTATGTAACTGTTTATGAATCGTACGTTATGTAGTTCAGTTGTTAGGAATTAACGATTGTTTACTATAGTGAGATTATTGCATCATGAGTTTCTCATAGATCAGAATATTTAGTATTGCATGGAATGTTCTAGACTTCTGTCTGGGTATAAACATGCATCAAAATATTATTTAGTTCTAGTTCTAGACTGCAGGATCATGAGTTTAATGATAAAGGGTGTATAGTGGTGATTTTAAAGTGAAATTATCATAGACTGTATTCTGATAATAGAATACAGAAAAATAATTTGTCCTGTCAATTGTGTTCTAATGTACCTGAACCAGCCTGTGTAGACTCTGATGAAAAAGAGACAATTATTCAAAGCTCTGGATACAGCTATGGTAGCCAACAGTGTAATGAACATTTGTATGTACATTTAATTTGTTTTAGATATATATTATTTTTAAAACAAGTGGACTGTGTTGCTATTTTTTTATAGTTAAAATTTATTGGCAACAAGTCACAGACACTTACTTTTAAGAATTTGGCCCTACAAAACCTGACAACTATTCTCTATCAGCTTTAGTTCTTATCTTCTGCTTGTACAATGCATGATATAGTATTTGCATCTCCACCAGGTGTCATTCAAATTCAAGTTGGTTAAAAACATCAACAAGGCTCATCCTGAAAGAGCCTGGCCTATCTAGAGTACATCATGTGTTTGATATGATGGTGAATCACCTGTGTGAAATGATGGCTCCAGAGGGTTGGTAGAGGTGGACTGTAGAGCATGGTTTGCCCATCATAGCTGATCTCTGATAATTTCTGAAGAAGTTATCCAAAAATAGATAATCCCTTCAGGGTGGCTTTCTAAGAATGCTTATCAATTGTGTCTTCAGGCTTGGCTGATCTGGCCAGTGTTGCTTAATTGACGCTCACAATAGTACCTGATGGGTCAGGCTATGGCTCAATCACTTTGGTGGGTGAATGAAGTATGAAGCTCCAGAATACCTGATAGAATGCAAGACAGTACTTATATATATATATATATATAGTGTTCAACAGATGACACCTCGAAAGCATTAAGGAGTTCTCTGTTCTCACATAGCATCAAACCAATCTGGCTGTCATCTTCTCCACATAAGTTCTTGCCAGATAATATCTCACAATGAGCACAAGAGAAAAATATTCTGAAGGAATTGGAGATACAAATCATTGCTGTTTCTACAATCACAAAATCATGCTTGAAAGCACCAAAATTTTGGATGACTTGTGGTAAATCTCAAGAATAAACCTGTTCTTTACAAACAAATATAGTTGTTATGATTTAGTACATGGAAGAACAAAGGCAGTGATTTTTCAGATTGATTGAAAGAAACAAGACACAATATTGAAATCTGAGTAAAATCAAGTTAAAATAACTTGAAAATTAAATGAAGATAAAATGAAATATACGTAATCATCATATAGAAAACAAAGATTGGATCAGCTTTGTCACCAAATTTTGGTGCTCTGAAACACAAAACGAACTTCATTCCTCAGAGGTTAAACTTGACCTCCCCTGAAAGAACTGAACTGCATCCATAAAACACATTCTCTCTGTAAATGACCTACCAAAAAGCATGTATTGGAATGCAAAAGTACTTACATTCCATATGACAGTTGCAAAGCTATTCTTTATAAACTTGGTAAAGCCACAATGCAGCTATTCAATGAACAAGTCGATAAGTTCTTTGACTGGAAAGGCTACAGAAAGTAACACCTCAGGTTTAATTTGTACATGACGTCAACCAGATTTAGCTAGTTTCAGATTTAGAAATTAAATATTATTTGGTAATAATTTTGTGAGTGTAAAACATATATTATTGTAGAGTAAGATGTGGAATACATTACAAACTTTGTTATCTGGCATCTTCACATTTGGAAAGCTTTTGTAACAAGAAATTTCAATATTTCCAAATACAAATGATTACAGTAACTTAGTGGCACTGCTGTGACTTTGTTTACATTTTTACCAGCCAGTAAGCTTCAGTTATTAGCTGCCTGTATTGTAATTCACTTTTAAAATAATATACTTATAAATGTTTTTATACAACTTAATGCTTTTTACACCATTTATTATTGTTTAAAACTGTTATTGTTGTAGATGATGTAGAAATATTGTACAAAGTGAAAATTTTACTTGTAAAATATCATAACAGATATTCTTTCATGTTTGAAATTTTCTTCTGTCCAGCATTACTCTGATCCAACATATGCCAGATAATAAAAATTTTACTGTATTTGCATACTACATATTCATTATATGTAAAATATTTCTGTCTCATGGTTGCTATGGTATGATATTTTATGACTGAAATCCAAAATTTTTGTTTTAATAGATGTCCTAAAATTGGAAAAAACTCATTTATTGAGTAAGATAGAAGAATTTAAAAACAAAGAGGTAAGTTTTATGTTTCAGATTGTTGATTCCATGCAGGCTTAAATGCATGTCTATATGCCTGATGAAAAAATTGTCAGAAGATATTTTATAAAAAGTTTCTTAATAATTTTATCATACTCTTATCATTTTTCAGTTTTTAAACATCATAAAACATGTAAATAAACAGTATCATCTATTTTGGAATGAACATTATGTTGCATTTATCAAATCTGAAATTGTTATGTAACCTTATAATTATCTTGATTTTCAGAAAGAGTCTGAAGAAAAAGTACAAGAGATTATAAACCAGTGTAAAGAAGCAGATTATGCAAAACGATTGCTTGAGGTATAATATAACTACATGTATTAAACATTCAAGTGCAATATATATAGGGTGGTTCATTATACAAATTTAGAAAAATAGTGTCTTATAAGTATATAAGGTGACTGTTACTTTTTTTTCTCTGGAACAAATAATATTGCTCAGTCATTCGCATATATTTTTAATATGTACACATTTATAACTGAATGATGCTGTGACTGAAAGGGTAGAGACTAGTCTGCTTGAGACTTAAGCCCTGCTTAATTGGTAAAGCTTCAGTCTTTAAATGGTAAGGTAGGTAGTAATTCTGGAGTCAAGCTTTGGTCATATATCATCCAAATCTGTTACATCTCTAAGCTAATTAGATGATAAATGAAACTGTGTTAAATGCCATACTCATTATCAGTACTTCTTTACCTGTGACTTAAAGATATGTAGAATATATTACAGGCCCAAGGTCTCCATGTGATTTTGTATGTTTTCCTTATGGATAAATTACTTGTTTTTTTTACTCAAAAATGTATATTGTTCTGTGTAAAGAATTACTGTAATGATGATAAGGTAAGAGTTTTTCCAGCTCAGTTGATATATAAGTAACTAACTTAAAATACTGGTGTAATTAAGTTGAAAATTGTCTCCCAGTGGGTGAGTGGTAAGCTTACAGACATACAACCACAGTGGACACAGTAAATAACTTAATCTGGCTTTGCTGGGACTTTCAAGCCTTTGTTAGGGCAGTTTTTATGTCCCGATACTTTATATTTTATACACATTGAGCATTAGAAACTTTATAAAGTTAATTTTTGACCAACATTCTTGTATGTTAGATAATGATTTCTTTTATTTATTAACAAAACAAGTTTAGCATTTGCTGATTTGTATTGTAATCTGTCACTCAGAACCATTTTATTCAATATGTAATGTTAAATCTTTAATTTTGCTCTATAAGATTTTTTTCTAACACTAAGGTATCTGAAAAATTGCAAAGAAAAAGGATACTTGTGTAGTATGTGGACATGCCATGTTTTCCAACTTTTTATGTTAATACAATATTATTCTAAATCTATCAGTTATTTTGAGGCAAGGAAAGTTGTTAAGTGGATTTCATTCTAGCTGCCTTTGTCATTCTGTTACACCTGTTCTGCCCATACATGACATGTATGTAATGCTGTGTATTGAACAACAACATTGATAGCATTGTCCTTTAATGAAACAGTTTCTGTGGTACTGCAGTATGCATGATAACTTCAAACCATTCATAAGAGAGGAGGAGCCCTGCAGCTGCAGGTGCTATGCTTTGAATAGACCATCCTACCAGGTATCCACATCATGCTAAGTTCAAGCCAAGCCAAAATGTAATTAATCACCCACACATCCTGGCAGTGTGATGCAACCACACTGGTATCCAGTAAGTGGACAGGAATATCACAGTCCTCCCCTGGTTTACATGCTAAAGCTTATATTGATAATGCCTCCACCAAGACATCATCCTGGAAGGGAGGAGCAAAACATTTGCTTGTGAAGTATTGGGTCACTTTTGAGTCATCTGCTCATACATCACTGAGCAGCAAGGTAAGCAAGGCTATTGGTTTGAACCAATGACTCAGCAGATGCAATAGAACCAACAACAGGCAGTGAACAATGCCACTGCAGCTCCAGGAAATACAAGAAGCCCAAGTCAGGCTTTGCTACTGACTTGAGAACTATACTCTAATAGGCACTTACCAAAACCCACTCATCTCTGAGATAGCTTGGCTGACCACCAAATCTTTCAAAGGAAACTGTTTATTTCAGTCCTTGTGTTAAACAAGAGATAAAGTTCTTGTTTGAGTTGATACAGGAGTGGCCAGAACGTTGGTAGATCTTGCAGTATATCAGGCTCTTCAAGCAAAACCACCACTGAGGCCAGTCAACACAAAGTTTATCTTGACAAATAGAGATAAATTAGACATTAATGGAGAGTTGACTCTTTGATTTTGTCTAGGAGGTATCTCTGACAGAATGAAGATAGTCATTGCTGACTTCGATTCTTGCTTCGGCATCCTTTGGATGGATGTACTGACCACTTATGATTAAGTGTGTGTGTGTGTCAAACTAATGTTCTTTGGGATAATTATCCAGTGCTGATCAGACTGAAATTGGAAAAAGCAGACTGCATGAGTGTGTGTGAAATAGGAAGTCACATTACCCCTTGTACACAAATGGAAGTTCATGGTTTGCAGTTTAATGCATCAGTAATTTGTAACAATTATAAAGCCCTGGCATGAAATAAGCTGGATTATACTCAGAAAGCAAGCAGCATTATCTTGGGTAGTTTTTTGTCCAAGGGGGATGAAATCCCAGTTTTGTTCTTTTAAAATAGATGATCAGTTATCCAGCGTTACAATGGAATGACTGTTTCCACAATAAGCAAAGTTGAAGTAACTAAAATTAGCAGTAATGCTGAGGTAGCATCTGTCATGCTATGATTGAAAGTAATACACAGATACCAACACATCTCAGATAACTAGTTGCACATTATGCAAAATAGGCTAGACTTCCCATGGTAGCAGGAACTCAGTGACTTGTCAGCTGAATATGCTAATATATTTGTGGAACCAGATGGCTGATTGAGTCAAATAACGGTCATACAGCATTACATAGACACAGATAATACACATCCAATTAAATAATTGCCATGCAGTCTTCCCTGGAGCATGAAAGATTTAGCCAATGCTGGGGTATAGCAGATGTTAAAGGACAGGATTATGTAGTGCTTGTTTATCTCCAGTAATGATTGTTAGAAAGAGGAAGGTATGCCCAGGTTTTATATTTATAGTAGATGGGTGAATGGGATGACTCACGTTGATGCATTTCCACTACCACAAACAGATAAATGTCTGGACATATTGGAAGTGGACCAATGGTTCAGTACATTAGATCTGAAATCCAGATACTAGCAAGTAGAACTGGATAAAGAGAGTATTGTTAAAGAGTATTGTGATATGTTATATCCATATTAAGGGGCTGTATTTTTATATTATCATGTGGTGTTTGAAAGAATCTTATTTTAGGATGTGCTTTATCAGAAGGTTAACTTAATATTTATCCATTTTGTATTTCTGAAAAATAACTTCATTTGTTTAACAGGGTCTGGCATACCTAGGTGATTAGGGCATTCAATTCACAATCTGTGAGACACAGGTTTGAATCCCATCACTGTACATGCTTGCCTTTTCAGCCATGGAAGCATTAATAATGTGGTAATTAAAACCATGGTACATAGTACATAAAAAGGAACCCTTTACAATTGTTAACAGAAGACATAAAAATTAAAAAAAAACCTTCAACATAGGTTAACCTTAAATAATACTGAATCAACCTATACAGTGAACTCTTTACACAAAGAATTGACATTACATTACAAAAATCAGCCATTTATCACATATATAAACAAAATAATTATTTTAAAATTGGCAATAAAATGTTTTAAAACACATCAAAGAACCTCTCAGCTAAATGTACACACAAAAATCCTTTAAACAAAATAATAAAACATGTCAAAAGAAAGTCAATCCCTTTATAAAGAATGCAGCAAATATACACAAAATTGCATTTAAATTAATAATGTGAAAATATACATCACTTCAAGAATAAATTCTATAATGAAATTAAGGTAAATGTCATCTTTCCTTTCACTGCTAGAAAAAGCACTTACCATGATTCAATCATCTCACAATCTACAGCTCTCTATTCTTAAATCTCTTGTCTTGTAAAACTTTCTTAGTTGCTACCATCTTCCTTGGTATTTACAAGTTAAGCATGGTAAATAACATCAAAAGAGCTACTTTCAATAATTTTCTCATCAATTCAAGACACTTCTTGTGGTCTGTCAGATTCCTAGCTTGGAATCACCTTTTCCATGGTTTCTGCTAGTCAGTCTGTTTGGTAGGTTTTGCTGCAGAGAAGTTGAAGATACTGCACACTGAAAATCCTCACCAGTTGGTAATTCCTTTGCACTGGCTTGTTGTCATCTATAGTTGCTGGAACCCTAGAGTACATCACTCTTTGATCAGAATATAACTTTCCACTGCAGAATCCTTGAAAATTTGGCATATAAGTAAGGAAATACCACTGGCTAGTTGAAGAACAAGATACAGAAGTGTCCAGAATTAGATCTCTTGTAGTAAAAAGTCTGAACTGAAAATGTCAGATCGATGAATTCCAATATTTCAAAAGGTCAGTCAGGTGTGTAGATTGAAAGGGGTACATGATCACTTGATTATGACCATTACTCTTCATTAAATAGTACCTTTAGAAGCTGAGTAACATCTATTGGATCCACATGTGCTCATGCAAAAATTATAATTTTCCAAAACTAAAAATATATTTCCAATGGGTACTTACCTCCTCTCCCATATATAGCTATTCTCGTTCAGTTCTGCCCTCTAAATTAATTTTTTTTTGCATGCCATGAGACTTGTACTCCTACTTACCCCACACTTATTGTGGTTCAACTGTGTCTTGCGTGCAAATCATTGTGCGACAACCCTCCACCAATAGGAGTGTGACACACCCTCCTGTCACGTGACACTCTCTATTCGATTCAGCCGAACTATCATTTCGAGTTTAGGCAGAAAATGAAGCACTGGATTTCAGTGGGGAGGACAGGTGGGAAGTGTGATAAGAGGTAAGTACCAATCGGAAATATATTTTCAGTATAAGAAAATTATAACTTCCGATATGGTACATTATCTCCACTCAAATATATAGCTAGAATCCCACATTGAAGAGGTAGAGGGACCAGTGAAAGGGATAAAAAAATGCACCCTTCAGAAGCATACAAAGAACACTTTATACAGATGGTCATCTTAATAGAGAATCACATGTGTGAGACCATACCACTTCTTTACCAGGTATACTTATCACCCAGTGTGTAAAGAGGTGTAGTAGACAGGAGGAGCACAAACAAAAAGGGAGAAAAAATGGTTGGATTGGAATCTGGCCCACATGATATCATACTCTCAATCCCGTTTAAGAGAAGC